ATTATATCTCTTTATTTACAAAAATTCTAAAAATTCATAATTCTCAAATTGAAGCTTCCCGCCATAATAATTGTGTCTGTATTTATCCGTTGAACTCTTCCCAATTTAGTGAAGTTCGCATTATCTTCTAAAATTGCGTTTTTAAATTATTATTCTTGAATATCTTCAATCTACCACAAAATGATAAATTACAATTAAATTCCAATATTTAAACATAATAAATTAATAAAATGTAAAATAAATATATAAAATATGGGTATATTTTTCATCTTATCAAACATGCGACTGTCATTCGCTTGAAACTCCTCCATAATTTGATGAACAATCAACTGACAATCATTGAGGATAAGTAGATATGCAACTCCCACCCATTGTGTCATTCTAAGTCATACAAGTACGGCTTCATATTCGGCTTAATTGTTACGGCTCCACACAGACGACACCAAATGTTTTAGCCAAAAAACAATCGAAGCATCAAAGTCTACTAAAACACTCGAAGAAAGCCTGCAAAACAAGTACTTAGCACTTCGAAGATTCTGTCAGTAATGGAATGATTATGAGAATTGTAGTTTGAATTTTTAAGTTCCTGTAGTCCTTTCTCCAATATTTTCATAATTATTTGAAAGAGATGGCTGTTAGGATGACGTATGATGACCGTGTCCACTTAACGGTTATCTTCGAGATTTCAGGCGAGAATTATGCTAAGTGGCTGGAGATGCAGTTAAGCGGTTGTTACTTACGAACCAAAATATTGTTTGATAAAGATTGGTTCAGATTATGCTTGTTCGACACATTCTATATGCATAAAACCGAACTATTTCCTCAATAGATATATAGTGAGTCGGAACTATTTGTTTAACATTGATGTGTCCTTTGTCCACATTCACCTTTCATCGTCATTTAAAAAAAAACTATAATAAATAGCATAATGTGATAATATAAATAAAAAATAATAATTGTTTTACTTTTTTTTATATAAATATTGATTCAATTCCAAACTTGAATAACATTTCAATATTTATTAAATCTTGTTTCTTAATAACATATAATAAATAAAATAGGATAAAAGGTATCTTGTTTTTTCAGAGTTATCAACATATAAGGTGGGGACCAACCTAGACATAGTTCAACTAATTAAGACATTATCTGCAACTAAAATGTTAAGAAACCTGAGAGTTTGATCTAGAAACCTGCTAACGAACAAGACCCATAGAACTCAATCCCGAAAACCTCAAAAAAACAAGTATGGCCAAGGAAAAGTTTAAGAGCGGATTACCTTGATGATCAATATCAAGAGTAGAAAAAACTCATTTCTAAACTCGTGATTCGAATCACTCCACAAGAGGTATGATCAACACCGCTTGAATGATCCTAACATGCAAATTCTAAAGACATAAGAAATGAGAGATAAAGCTCTCAACCAAGCTAATGAGAAAACTCACTTTTCATTAAACTTCAAATTGTGTTTACAACAAGACATCTCAAGGCTATATATAGCCATCCGAGCAAGCCATATGAAAAGTCTTAAGCAAAGGAAAAGACTTGTAACTTACAAGAAATGAAAAGACATGTCAATGAAAAGACATAACTTACAAGAAATGAAAAGGCTTGCAAATAAAAAGACATAACTTCAATAAATGGAAAGACAAGCAAATGAAAAGGTTAAGAACATGGAAAGCCAACCACAATAAGTGCAATCCCGTCCATAATGAGGGATGTGAGTGTTTGACTTGGTTTTTGAATTGAATGAGTTGACTTTGACTTGTCTTGATGGAGTTGACTTTGACCTTGACCAAGTTGACTTTAACTTACCTTAAAAACACTTAGAAATGTGAATTGTTGAAGTTTGTTAGTTCTTGATCTTGTAATCAGTCAATGAGGTATGACAAAGGGAGCTCTTTGGTTCATATTATAAAAGATTGTGACTTCTGACATATGTGAGGTATGTTCAAGTTGGTGATATCAATTTTTTTTTTTTATCAACAAATTATATAGGTGATTGACCAAATAAATACTTTTCGTTATTTAGAATGACAACTTTTTTTTTTTTTGGGTTATCATGACAATAAATTAATTGATGCTATATAATTATAACTCTTATTCGACATACTAATCATTTAGCACATATTACTAATAATATATTTCAAATAATTATGGTAGTTTCCAATAATTATTGAAAATTATCGAGCATAATTTAACAAATTAATAGCAACTAATATATAAAATATGTTACATAAAAAGAATCTCAATATAAACTTTGACATATTTTAAAATATCTCCACGTCCATCTCACCCATTTATTCATTTCTATAGAAACAAGATAAGTCAATGCGTTCTTAAATTAGTAGTTTTCCTTTTCTTTCTTAAAACAATACATTACAAATAAACAAAAACAATTCCAACTTAAAATCTAGAAAATTTCAATTAGTATCATAATTTTCTAAAATATTTTGTAAATATATAATTTTCTGAAAAGTAATTATAGATATAGCATTTTAAAAAACAGATCTTAAATATAACATTTTTTTATTACCTATAAATTATTGATTAACTTTTTAGTAGAAATGAGTGATTAACTTAAATAATGATAATTACAGGATGTTATTATTTTATAGAATAGTTATTCATTATCCTAAGTATATGATTAACCTACATACTTAGTTGTTATTTGTAATTATTTCGGTTTTTAGTTTCATATTTTAAAAAATTATGCTTATTTTTTTTTTTTGGTAAAATTTCATTGGTAAGCTTTTTCATTTCTATTAAAAACATATTTGAATTCTAAGCTAAATTAAAAAATAATAATAATAATTGAAAACAATTTTTTTTAATTTCAAAATTTGGCGTAAATTTTTAAGAAGTTTATAAAATTATATAACAAAAATACAAAAAACATATGGACAAAAGTAATATTTCATATCTTAAGTTTTAAAAATAGAAAGAAAAAAAAATATATGGTCATGAAACATGACCTAAATAATTATTGAATTTATGCATTTTGATTTTCATTTTATCTACAATTATTTGTTAGCTGATATTATTTTTGTAACCGTTTATTTCATGTTTTAGATAATACAACTCAAACTATGAGATAGGAACTCAAACAATTTTTGTGATGGGATAATTTCTTGACCCTACTACATTTGATTGTCAATAAAACACATAAAGAATTAATTCTTTGGTAGGTACCCATCATAACATATTCCCTCTAAATTATTTTGATCTACTTTGGTTTATTTAGACCAATAAGCTAACCATGATGGATGAAAGAGGAGTAGTACGTGAGGCGTGTGAATAAAATAAATTACAAGTTAAATTAATTTAACTCACCCACCCTTTTTGCCATATCCTACCAAACCATTATTTGTTAGATCAAATTAGTGTGTCACACTAATTTTCCTCGTTTTCGGGCTTAATTAAGATGGATATCTCCTCAAATGTAATGTAGTGGCATTTTTTTTTCCTAAAACAAAGACTTGATATTAAAAAATATATATATAGTGCGTCACACATCAATGTTTTTTTTTTCTTTCTCTCTTTTTTTTTTCGAGAAATCACACATCAATATTAACAAAAGGACAGTTATGAGAAAGTATATATATTGATGGATAGGTATCTCGTTATTTACTATCCTCTATTTTATTTAACCAATTTCAAACCTAAATATACACCTGGCCATTTGATAGTTATTTTGTTTTCTATCCATGGTTTTTGAAAAAATAATGAAATTAATTTTCCTTTTTTTCTATTTTTTAAATATGTTTTTGAAATTCTAAGTAAATTTAAAACAAGAAAAAACAGTTTTATATTTTTCTTTCTTACGTTGAACCTTTTATTTTTTTTAGTACAACATACGGGGTAGAGATGTATATGTCAATTATCGCTAAGCTATACTCGCTTTGACTCATCTCTAAAATATTGACTATAATTTATCTCTCCAAAATTTTCATATCTATCTCATATATCATTCTCATTTTTTTCTGTATAATTTTTATTTCTCTTTATATTTTTTAGCAAATATATTTTCAGCATTTATTTATATAAATATTTTCCCTATGACGACTTTTCTTTTACTAGAGCTTTTTTTTTCTCTTTTTATTTTATTTGTCTTTTCTACATAACAAATATATCTCAAATTATTTTTCAGTTTAAAATTTTTCCTTCTTTCTTTAACGTGTTTTTTCCTCTAAAATTTACTCTTTTTCTTTAAAATTTTTTCTTCTTTGTCTTTACTTTCATCTCATAATTTTTACTCTAAATCTTTTTATTTATCTCTCTAGAATTACTCTCCCTAAAATTTTACAATTTTTTTTCTTGTTAAACTCTTATTTTCATAACTTTACATTGAGATCACAAAAATCCCTTCAAGGTTGTAAAAAATAGGGAATGTGCATTTCCAACGATGCCCCAAACTCCATCCACGATTCTATATTTTAAATAATAAATATATATTTTATTAACTATTTTACAAAATTAAGAATAAACTGTTAAATATTTTTTGGTAAATAATAATTTTCATATATTGATTGTTTTTTTTAACTCTAAAAATAATTAAAATTTATTAATAAATCGGTAATTTTTCTCACAAAGATCCCTTATCCCAAATGAGATTCTGGACCTCGATTCCTGAAATCTGAGAATGAGGTGGAGACAAATACTAAAAATTTTCACTTGACAATAATGGAAGAAGGGCATGTCCGACTCCCGTCCCATATCGTTTTCATCTCTACTCTATATAGATTTTTCTTTTTTAAATTCAAATAATTTTTTTGCTTAGTACACACATTTTTCTCTCTCTAGCATATCTCTACCTAAATTATTTTTATAATAACCAAAGTAACATAACTCATTCATTCAAAGCATCTTGGTCATTTTCTAATGGCGAGAGGTTGAATTAAAAATTATATATATTTTTATAATAGATTCATAATACAAAGAGACACTGATGTGTAACTACTTGAACCGTACACCCATCCTCCATTTCACTATAAAATGGGTCGCTTGGTTCCACCTATTGATGTGCAGAGAGAGGCTTTTTTTGTTTGAGTATATATTAATATTTTAGGTTGAAAAATGGGTTCGGTTCATGATCCGGAGGCCGGCGACGGTTACCGCAGCGGCGGCGCTGCCACCGCCGACGTGGAGGAGTTCGTGTCAGTAGAAAACCCAGACTCCAAACTCTCCAAGTTTGGATCTATCTTCCAAAACCTTTACCCTCCTGGGTTTTCCCGAAAGGTACCTTAAAATCATCAAACAAACAATTGACCCTTTTCCTTTGTCCTTTTGTTTTTATTTTTTTTGGGAAAAATCATTCCCTGGTGGAGTAGAATGAAAATTTCTATCTCCTGTCGCTGACGAAATTTTTAGAATTGAAAGATTATATACATAAAAGTGAAAATTTATGGCTTTGCCTCTTGATATGGTGTTCAGCTGGTGGCGGAAGTGATAGCGACATATTTGCTGGTGTTTGTGACGTGCGGGGCGGGGGCATTGAGCGCGAGCGACGAGCGGAGAGTGTCGCAGCTCGGAGCCTCAGTCGCGGGCGGGCTGATCGTCACCGTGATGATCTACGCTGTCGGCCACATATCGGGCGCCCACATGAACCCGGCTGTCACCTTAGCTTTCGCTGCAACTCGACACTTTCCATGGAAACAGGTCTCAGTCCATACACTTTTTTTTTCTTTCCCTTTTGATGCAATTCTCAGTTATTTCTGTTATAATCAATAACCTAATCATTTGCTCTCACATGCTATCTTGTCGGTTTTATTATCCAGTAACATTCGTGTTTTCTTTTTTCCTTTATCGTGACCCATTTTTTAGATCTTGTTTGATTCCTAAATATTTTATTTTATTTTATTTGATACTTGTACTTCAATTTTTTTTTTCATTGAAATTTATTATCCATCTCTTTAAATGTTGCATAAAAAATATTTCTCATTTGCATGATCTATAATCATCAATCTATGATTGACAAATGTTTGAAACCACATATATTAGATTAGTTGTTGGCGAGTCTTAATTTTTTTTCTTGTTCTTTTAAATAATTGATGAATCTTTTTAAGTAAAATTTGGAGATGAAAATCAATCACTTGAATGTTAAAGGACTAAAAATAAAATAAAAGAAATTTGAAGTACTAAATATAGGAGTTAAACTTAAATTTATTGAATAAAACTATATTATTTATTTATTTTACTAATATCGAAATGAATAATTATTTAATTCAAGTAAATAAATTATTAAATAATATGTCAATAATGATAAGAGCTGATTTTAATAGAGCTAGTTGAATAAAAAACATAATAATTTATAATAAATGAACACGTATCTTATGTTTTTACTGATAATATATACAAATGGTTTTTTAAATGAATATTATTTAATTATCAAATTGATGTGTTAGAATAATTATTTGATATAGTAGAGCCTATTTGTTTGAGGTTTATTATTAATATTCAGGTGCGGTGCCAAGTACAGAGGACCCGGCATCTATTTCCCATTAATTTTGAATTATATAAATTCAATTTCAAATATTTTTTCTCCTTGATTATCCCATACAAATTGAAATTTAAAATTTGTCCTCACTTTCAAGTTTTCCTGAACAACTTATTTTTACAGTTCAGTTTTCAAGTTGTTGTTTACTTTCATGCCTTTATAACAACTATTTTGTTTTTAATTTTTTAGTTTTTAAAAATTTTGTATAATTAAACACTTCCTTTTGTTTTGCATTTACTTTTAAAAACATTTTCAAAATCAAAGCTAAAATTTAAAAACTTAAAAAAGTAGTTTTCAAAAACTTAATTTTATTTTTAAGATGATGAAACATACCATTTTAAGATGGTGAAAACATATCAACGGGGATTGTAACCAAACAAGACTGATTTTCAAAAACAGAAAATTAAAAATGAAATAGTTATCAAACATGTCCTCACTTTCAAATCGTTACTAAAACATGATATTGAGTATGATTCTATGATTAAGTGATGGTCAATCTGAACCTAATTCAACTGTACCAACATCCAGTGTCTTTCCTATAAGTCATAAGCTCGAAGCAATCGAGTGAATAACACTATTTTGACTAATAATTTAAACATAAATTTTGTGGGGTTGAAAAATGAACCCTTTTTTCCATGTGTAGTTTTGAAGTCCTAGAAGTAGATCATTATATTCATGATATAGAGAGGAAATGGAATAATGGACATGATGACAATAAAAAAGGGAAAAATCTAGGCCATATTTAGTGGCCAACATGAGGTAGGGTCCAGCCCAAATATTATTCTTGAGACCTCACGCAGCCACAAGACTTGTGATTTTTCCATGGCCATGAGCCTTTGGCCTCACTCCGCCGGCCACAAGAATGGGATGGGACATGAGCCATATGATAGCTCCAGAACACTTGAGAGAGGGATAGAGATGTCCACCAAACATTTTCTTGGCCCATTGGGAGTGGGGGTAGTATAGGACAACATGATATAATAATTCATGTGTGTGTTTTACTGTTTAGAGTCAAAAGAGCAGTGGACGTCTTTTAACTTTGCTTTTAGAATTAAAGAATTTCAAAGTAGTGTTGATAACCATTTTGTTTTCGGGTTTTTCTTTTTGAAAGTGTTTCTTTCCCTCATGTTTTCCGTTGTTAGTGTTATATAGTTTTTTAAACATTTTCATCTCTAGGCCAAATTTTGTTTTCATTTTTTAAAGTTTCAAAAACTTATTTTTGTTCAAGAGAATTAGCTAAGAATTGAAATACGTTTTTAAGAGTGTTGAAAAACTTACTACTGATATTGTAAAAAAAAACAAACATAATTATTAAAAATAGAAAAATAAAAATGAAATAGTTGTTTGGATACTAAGTCGTTGACTTTTAAAGTCCGGTTTCATCTTTGTTAGGAGATGGTACTTTTTGGCTCATAACTTTCGCAAGTCTTTGTTTAAGAGTTTTTATATATTAGAGATAGAAACTGGGTTTATACAACATCTATTGGTTTCGTAGGTTTGTGATTTGTAAATGTAAGATTCAACTTCTGAAGTAGATTTCAAAAGTTTAACTTGGGTTTATGGAAACAGGCTCATGGAAATATCTACTTATACTCTTGTGAAATGTTTGGTTCACAATTTTAATATCTATAAATTTCCATGACTTGAAATTAAGATTTTTGGGACATGAGTTCGACACCTAGATTAGAAACGTTAAGTTTAGGAATTTAAGTGGAAATCTTCGTAAACCTAGCTAGGTTTAAGAAAATTGTGTGGGAGATGAGTGAGTACTGAAATTTGTCCATCAAATTCTAAACTTAATAAACCTAAACAACAAACATAGGCTAGTTCCACATCTCAAACCAAACCCACACCCTAAACATCCTATATATCAAAGAGGTTCTAGTTTGTACATCTTACATTTCCACTATAAAGAAGAAGTATAATTTATTAAATACGTTGTATCAGTAAGGATATAGGGCCTTGTGATATTTAGATACTTGAGCGGATAGTAGATTTACACAGAAGAGGGCTTCTTTTTTTTTTTTCAAATAGTTAATAAAATTTGGTAATTAAAGAGTTAAAAGGATTGGTTTGGGTGGTGGCAGGTTCCAGCGTATGCAGCAGCGCAGCTGAGTGGAGCAACATCTGCGGCCTTTACGCTGCGAATATTGCTGCATCCAATCAAACACGTGGGCACAACGTCGCCATCCGGATCGGATTTTCAGGCATTGGTCATGGAGATAGTTGTTACATTCTCCATGATGTTCGTTACTTCAGCTGTCGCAACCGACACCAAAGCTGTAAGAATATAATTAATTCTATCCTTTCCTCTCACTTTCTTCATTGTTTCACATGTTCCACGATGATAAACTTACATGACATGTTTGGTCGAAATTTCTTGATTATCTTCTAAATTTCTGTTAACTCGTTTAAGTATCATGTAATAAAGTTTATTATTGTCAACCAATTTTAATATTTACCACTGAAAAAGTGATGTAATTCAAAAGTTTTAAACCATAGAGAATAGATTCTGTTTTTCTTCTTAGGAAAAATTGTTTTCCAAAATTGTATTTATGAAAAAATTAAGGACTAAAGCGCATAATCTTGTAAATGTTGTGAAATTACACTCCACATCATAAATATAATATGTATTTTAAGAAATGTCATAACTTTTCATTTTGTTTTTAATTATAGCATAAATGTGATTTTATTTTGAGTTTATTGCATTTAGCAAACTTGAGTATAGACAAAACAAATCGTGTGTTCAAATTTTTACTATATTTGAAACAAATAATAACTCCAAGTTTAAAAATTAAATAATATTAAATAAAAAAACTGATATACTTATCTCCAATGGTATATATGCGTAGAACAGAATATATCACATCCTAAATTAAAGAATATGTCTGACTAGTTGATGTGTAATTAAATTTTATTCATTTAACAAGTGGTGCTTGATTTTTGGCAGGTGGGAGAGCTAGCAGGTATGGCAGTTGGCTCAGCTGTGTGTATTACATCCATCTTAGCTGGGTAAGGAAACATATAACACATTTTTGGATTGGCTTTTTACCCATAAAAATATTTGATTTCTAATTAACATCTTGAAATAAAACAAATTTTGAAAAGTTTCTAATTTGTTTTACCAAAGAATTTTGAGCATACACATGAAATATTAAACAAATGAATCTAATGGAAGACTTGTGTTAGCCACTGTTCAGACCTGTATCAGGTGGGTCGATGAACCCTGTGAGGACTTTAGGACCTGCAATGGCAAGTGAATATTATAAAGGACTTTGGGTGTACTTTGTCGGGCCGGTTACAGGAACCCTTTTGGGGGCATGGTCATATAAGTTCATACGTGTCAGTGACAAACCTGTGCATCTAATTTCTCCTCATTCATTTTCACTCAAACTTCGAAGAATGTCGAGATCGGACACTGCTGAAAGTGAAAATTGAGCATTAGCTCAACATTCTCTTCTACCATCTTCAAAATGTTTGGTGTGTCGGAAAACATATGTGAAATAGTTTGAGTGTTTCATGAGCTTCGTGATGTACCATGCTCTAAGCTTACTTTCTTAGAGTTTAGCAATGTATAAGAAGCAGCCTTTGTAATTTGCTTAGCATCTTCATTGGTATATTTTCTAAATTTTGTAACTTTCCTTTTCCAAATAATAGCCAAATTCTAGAAATGGAATAGTTCACTTTAACTACTTTTACTTTTTCAAAATTGGGATAAAAATTTGATAAACATTTTTTTAGAATATATAAACAAATGAAAATAATTAATCTCTAAAAGGGTTAGATATATCTTAGTATTTAATTGAATATACTTGTAAAAAAACATTGAAAAAACAGTTACTAAAAAACTAATTATAAATATATGACAAAGATAAGTAGGTTAAATTAGTGATGGCTATGTGTATATATAGTTATCAATTTCATATCACATTTTCTTTCCTAACCATTTCTAATTATTTTTAAAGTAGCTTAAAATTTGAATAACATTTTTAGAAAATAAACAAAGAGGCAATCACTGAAAGTATTTGGCCAATGTGATGAAACAGAAAAAATGAAGAAAGGTATTATTTTAACCTTAAAAGGGTTACGTGATATAGCTATACAATTTAGTATGACCTAGGTAAACTATTACAAAATTAGTTGTAAAAAAACATTTAATAGATTAATAGAATTGTCCCCAATAGATAGTTTGGGTGGCTTGGGGCTCAAGGAATAACCTTGAGGTCTTGGGTTCAAGCCACATGAGATGCAACAAAAACCTAATTATAAATAACGGATCAATATTGTGCCAATTCAAGTTTTGAACTACGTAGGCACATCTGATTGATTCCATAGTTACTTTGCGTGCCAAATTAGGAATTCCTCTTTCAACTCGTCTCGAAATGGGAAAGCGGTACGTGAGCTGGGTTCAGAACATCGTGAGATTTTTAAGTCCATATCCGGTGTGGGTATTAGAGCATTGAGGGGACATTTCCCTAGAGACTGTTCTAGAAGCTTTACGTGAGAACTAGCTTACAGAAAAGCAAAATGAAGAAGAGGTGTGCCAATCAAGCAGCGATGCTACTCATGATAGGCTGAGTTTTAAGTCGTTATTCTTCGGTTTGAATAAGTCAAGTTCCGTTGGGAGCCCAGAGGAGCAAAGCTCATTTTCCTATCAAGGAAAAGTGTCTGGTTCATCCAAAGTCCAGTTCCTTCACTGTTTATGCAAAAAATATGACGGGGTATGACCTGGTCAAGGTCGGCCACAAGGAGAGCTCGACCTACTCCAGGTATGACCGTCGGGAGGGCATGACCTGCTTTTCAGGTACGACTGCGGGAAGAGCTTGGGTTTCCTTGGAAAGGGATGACCAGCTCAAAGGGTCAAGGTCGGCTGACTGGGATGAGCTGGTGTCAGGAATGAGCTGAAAGGCCACTTGGCGAGGAAAGACCTGCACAAGGGAACAAACACTCCGACGCTCAAGTCAGTTTTGAGTCCGGCCTTAGTATGGAGGCCGAGCTAGAATAGATACCTGACTGAAGAGTGAAGTGCCCTATTTATAGGCTGAGGTACCCGACAAAGAATCCGACCGGCGGTGGAGCATGTCGGGACCAAGGTCGGCCTGTCGGGGGTAGCTATTCCAGTTCATACTCTTGTCATCTGGAATTTGACTAAGTATGGAAGGTCGTTCCTCCCTTGAATGATCTTCAGGGAAGACCTTCAGATCGGCCTTTAGGGAAGGCCTCAGGTCGGCCATTAGGCAAGGCCTTCAGGTCAGCCTTCAAGGGAGCTCTTCAGGTCGGCCATCAGGCAAGGCCTTCAGGTCGGCCCTTAGGGGAGCTCTTTAGGTCGGCCACCAAAATGTGGCTGGATTGAAGTATCTCAAACATTTTTTACCCGCTCGTCAATTGTAGAGGGGGTTTTGATTCCCGTTATACACGATGTGGGAAAAGGCGTTTTCTTCTCTACCTTCTCAGAAGGGTTGTCGCTCCCATCGTACGTCATGCAACTTCATCGTTGTGGGTTTGGACTAGGTCGTTGCCTCTAGGCCTCTCACTTTGTTTTTTTCTTCTTCTCTTGAGTCGCTTGAATGAAGCTATTGCCCATGGCCATCGACTTGACCATTGTACGAGTGCTTAAGGCTCAAAATACTTGTTACAAATAACATCTTGTTGTTGCATCGAATGAAGAAGGGGGAGTTCACACGAAGCCACTACCAACTCCCAATGAGAATGAGTAAGTCCACAATGTACGTATACATTAGTTGCTAGGAGATCTCTCATTTGCAACCCAAGGAATAATCATCGAAGGAACAACGAGATAATCTTTTCTACACTAGATGCATCATAAATACAACGCCATGTAGTGTTCTTATTGATAATGGTAGTTGCATGAATGTTATTAGCACCTATATAGTGTAGAAATTAAAGTTAGCCACCACACCACATTCACGACCTTATAATTTGCAGAGTTTAAGTAATAGTGGTGAGATAAAGGTCTAAAGTCACAAATTAGAGTTTCATTTGCAATAGGTAGGCATAATGATTAAATTATTTGTGATGTCATACCTTTGCATGCTCGTGACCTTTTGAAGACCTTGGGACTATGATAGGAAGATGAAGTATGATAATTTCCTTAATAGAAATTATTTGATAATAATGGGAGGAAAACTAATCTAATTCCACTACCTCCAAAAAAAAGTTGAAATTGATCAAACAAAGTTGGAGGATAAAAGAAAGGAAGCCACAACTAAGGAGGCAACAATAATCCAAGAGAAAATGATAAGTGCTCCAAATAAAGAAGAAAAAGGTCGAACATCTCATGGTAAGTTCAAATGAGATTGAGGATAAAATTTATTGGGATGATATGCATGTTGATCATAATTTATTGGAAGGAAATACATTATTATATGCCTAACGTTGAAAAGGAAAGTATTGAGATTGACAATTGCAAAACTATGTATAAAATTAGATCCTATGGGTTACAAGTTATCATGTGATATCATGCCCCTTGTTGAGATAAAGAGTACTAACTTGGAAAAAGAGATTTTTTGTGATATTCATGCAAATCCAAGTCTTTTAAATAGATAAGATTCTCATGTTGATAACATCTCAACTCTTGAATAATTAATGCATGAAGAATTATTTGTGGATATATGTTAGTTGAAGAAAATGAGAGAAGAAAAATATGAGACAAAAGAAAGTAGCTATATCGAGTCAGAAGAGGAAAAGCGTAAGTTCAAGCTATTTGCATTCCAACCAAAATCTCAACAAATTAATGGATAAGCACCCTTAATTACAAAATAGAATGTTTAATCCAAGTGTTTGTACTTCTAAAGAGTACTATAGGAAATTTCAACTATTAACTCAATGATGGTCAAATGCAAGGAGAATTGAAAGCTATAGAGAGCTATTACAAGATAGAGATTAATGGACTCATCCTACCATCTTCCAATAACTTTGAGATCACCTTACAAGCTAAGTATAAAATGAATCATGATTTTGAAGATACTAACTTGTTTTCTTTGTGTGTAGGTAATCATGGACAAGTAAAGATATAGCCAAGTATCATGAAGTACTTGTTGATAAAAAAGTCTTTTAAACAATGTCATGGCCTAGAACACAAATTGCTATATTGGAGAATCAAAATGCCAAGCACCATGTGGAGGACAACGAAACTAAAGCACAAAGTCAACAAAACAGATGATTGGGTTTGGAAACACTTTTGGGAAGAACGAAAAATATTTTTGAAAGAAAATTCAAAGGAAGAATGATAAGAGCATCATTAGACTTCAAGACTGCTATAAAAGGAACCCGATGAGGTATGCCAACTCAAGAGGCCAAAGAAGGAAGGGCCATATAATTTCTCAAGAAGAATGAACTGTCATGCCCATGGAAAAATTCATAAGCCTTCAACCATGTAAAGAGAACCCACAAGATAAGGTACACTTTTTGAAGCTTATCATTGGACTAATTTGTTTGGTTTGAATGTAGTTAACCAACTTGATTCAAGGACAAATCCTTGTCAAGAAGGAGGAGATGATATGATCATGATTATCCAAGAGCTCTAAGAATAAAACTACATCAACAAAGAAGATTATCAAGAAGTGAGACTCCCTCAAATAGGAAGCTACATTGGACACATTATCAAGTTTTGAGAATTTGAAAGGACTAAGAGCAATCATCAAAGGTCAAGAGGAAGATAGAGATGGAAGATAGGCCAAGCAAGTGGTCAAACCTCAACGACATCACCATTGCTCGCACTAGGATCACATCGCACGCCTCACCACAGTTAACATGCCCTCCCGCTCGCATGTGCCAGTGCGATGCCTAACACCGGTGCGTCTCCCTGATGCTCACCTGCGTGTACACGCCCAGCCTTACG